CAGAAGCCACCCTAAATCAATATTTTGTGTTATTTTTAACATGTTGGCAAACACGAAAGGATTCTCCTGTTCTCAGGGTGTTTCAATGGCACGACCAAATTCTATCTCTTCTCTGGGTGTTTTTGAATAGAGCATTTCTTTTCAACTCCAGGAGCCAGTTGGAGCCAGCTCCATTTTGTTTGTTATTTTCTTTTCTTTGGCACCACTCTAGTTCCTTACCCCTGTGTGGTACCGTGTCTTACCAGTCACTTATTCAACTTAATCATCACTTTTGCACCCACCTTTGCTATCACGCTTTCTAGTCCCTCACCAGAACCTTCCAAAAGAATTATCCTAAATGTTACACCCCTTTACCCCTAGACACTTGGGGTCGTAACACTCATGTACTGTATATTTCCTTGTCTGCTCATTAATTGGAGGGTTTTTACATTTTTCGGCCAGATTTCTAGAAATTACCTCCCATGGAAATAACACTGTACTCAGCGAGTTTGGGAACAGCTGGGTCACGGTGCTCCTTTTTTAACGCGGTTATCTTGATCCGTTAAAGATGCGAGGCCCGCAAAGCTCAGGGAAGTCTCTTGTGTCGGCCTGCTGGGTCTTGGCAAGTGCAGAGGCTTTAAACTGCAGGTTTCGGTCCCGCACCGAGAACATAACGAGAGCTTATGTGCTGTTTCAGCTTTGCTGCCGCATTTATTTATATCCACGCGGGCTGGGATCCCCGGTGTAAGCCAGCTCAATCATACATACGCGGCGAAATGAGAACAGGTTCATAAGTCCCCATAAAGCTGAGACAGCTCTTCATTATTGATTTCTGGGCTGTAGGTCTATAGAGATTGGACATGGCTTTTCAACTGCCAGTTCTCTCCGTGCCCTCATGGATCCATGTTGTCCTTCTTCCTTTTATGGCTTCTTGGAGCTGTGGAAATGTGTTTATGATTTGCAGTGCAGTCTTTTATTGAAGTCATCAATTGTGCAAGCTTTCATCCAAAGCTAGTTGGAGTAGCTAGTTTGTTTTTGTATTTTCACTATGTTCACATCTCTGAGGAGAAGGCTGTACTCTTGCTTTAAGTCCTGTACCTCTGAGACCGCTTTCTCCTGGTCCCAGAGAAGGAGATTGGTATTGCCTGAAGTAAAGAAAATGGATGTCAGTTAATTTTAGCATTTGTCCAATGAACAAGAAAGTCGGCATGTTACTAATTACTGTCTTAGCACGAAAAGCTCTTTAGATTATATGGATATACAGATCCATTGGAATTGTGTAGATAATCTACTACATTTTTGGGGGATTTTCAGAACAAAACTCTGTCAGTTCCAATTATAATTGAATGGAGCTGATTCGCACGTACACTCCTACACTCCTACTTGGATGAAATGACTCCCAACTTTGCTTATTGCCAAGAGCACTGTGGCAATCATAATCATAAGCCTTATCCCCCAGTTTACTTAACATCAAGAGAAATCAAAATGAGCACTGATGCTAACAAGGCATTTATTCCAGTCAGTTAACTTTTATAGTGCAACGTTTCTCTTATGCAACCAAATGGATGGACTGTTTAACTGCAACAGCTGAACAAATGGCTCATGTCTCTCGTTCCGCTGGAGTAGCAACAATAGCTCTTGTTTCCCCAGCAATGTGCTTTACCCGAACCAGATGCCTCTGTTAAAGGAACGCACTGTGTTTTCAATAGGGACATGACATGACACAGAACAAAGCAGCCAGGCACTGCAAGAAGGCACTCTCTGAGCAGGAAAGGGAAGCAATCTTTTAACAGTCATGCTTTCTCAATGAGTTCTACACAATACAGAGTGACTGATTTTGCTTTAGATTGCACTGCCTATACCCAGGAGTGCTGTGTCATTACAAGAGAAAGATTTTGGTCACCGATTGCAGTCCTGATATATGAGGTGGAAGGTCAAGATACTCTTTCATTCAGTTTGTCATTATTTTACAGAGCAGGGAGCGTGTTGTTCACAAAGCTGCAGAAATGTTAAAATAACAGAGCTCTGGTGATTAACTACTTTAACAGACTGACTGTTAAACTCTTTATCTTTGGTTTCCTGAAACGAAAGCTCGATATTGCGATTTGAATGCATCCTGCTCCACCGAAGCTCAGGCTAAGAATGTGCGGTCATGTTCAGTGGATTAAAATGTTTAAACTGTGTCTGTGTAAGCAATTGTTTACCTTTTAATCCAGAACAAATGTCTTCGCTTAACTGCGGAGCGGAAACGGATGGCGAGCTTGAAATATGCTCTGCTGCTCTGGTAAATGTGCGCCTGTAATTCTTCAAGGTTTTTCCATCGACTTTAAGGAATGAACAATGTATACAACATGCTGCAGTTTTTGCCATTTTTTGTTTTTCATTTCACTTTGAATTTTTTTAGGTCCGGGGCATGAAAAACTGTCAAATAAAGTTCAGAGACCTTTTATAAACGGTCCACGAACACGATGAGTTGAATCAGAAAGCTACATGGTCACACTGAGGCAAAGCCAGAGTAAAGCTGAGGTGTGTAGTGTGTAGCAGCAAGCCTGATCATGCATCACACAAGAACACGGACACTGCATTCTCCTCCGTCAGCGGAGGCAGCAGAAGCTCTTCAGCACGAACCTGGGAATGATTAGTCCGGGCCTGGTTTTCCTTTCCTTTCCATGCTTTTTATGGAGAGGGAAAAAAAAAAGCAAAGACTGATCTACTGTTTCCAGGAGCGTGTCCAGCATCATGTTGAAAGTCAACTGATTCGCAGTGGAGGGCCTGTAACTCACAAACACTCAGCGTCGGCTTTCCTTTCGGGTTTGCTGCCTTCTTCAGATTAGTGAACTTTATTGCCCCTGTTCCTTTTCCACTAGCTGGTAACCACATTCAGTACAGGAGAGTGTTTTGTTTTTTTTTGGCAGATTGTCAGTTTGTTTAGAGCTCCATCTCAAATTGGTTGACAAAGACCGGCCCATATGGGCATTGTCCAAATACAGAAGAGTAATCTAAAACACATAAATTCAAGTAAATATTCCAGCTAGGCTGCACGAGATGTCCTTAATCCCCAGCGCTATAGAGAGGTTATGGGTGGCGAGCATCTTGTGTAGACCTTGAGTAACAGTGGTGAGGTGAGGAACATGGAGTGAATGAGGAACCCTCAGGAGATCACATCCTCCGAGAAAACATCCCATGTGCCACAATGACAGATCTTTGGGAATAGGCAACACACCACTGTACTGTTCTCTGTATAACAACCTTGGCAGACTCACTCCGTGTTTCCAGTGCTGGAAAATACGTTAGCACCTATGTTATGTAAAAGTCTCATGAAGAGCTGCAGGCACTGCCTGACAAGCCAGAAAGAGAAAAGTTAGCAGTGCTATAGTAGATGCATGTCATTTTCCTTATGTGTGCTTATCCTATGAAAGACTCATCTTCAGAGGACCTTTTAGTGAGGAATGCTTTGAAATGTAATGCTTTTCCTGCTTTTTAATGCAGAGCAAAATGTCCTTGAGAGACCTCCTCATTCAGAGGCAACGTCTGTCATTACAGTGAGGAGGATTACGGCTCTGTGTGATCACCCCTTCAGTTTTGCAAATGAGCAGTCTGTAAACTAAATAATTACACCATATAGCCACAGATGATCATTTAAACTGCAATACAAATCACGCTAATTTGTCAAAACAGTGCTGCTGAAGATGACTGTTTAAACCCTTCTTCTGTTAAAGCACCTCCTATATACAAGGAGAGACCTATTCTGTCACTTCACCTTTTCGCCTCTGAAGGAAAGCTGCCATTTTCAAACCTCACTGTGGGTGAACACAATTTAGTACACGTGATGAGCCATGTTTTCATGGTTGATACTGAACAGCTTCAAGCAGCTGTGTCCAAACCAGCAGAGATGCAAAAAGTGGTCTTGCTGAGCCGAAGTGGTCCTCTGTGTTTGTTATACTCTAATTGTCCATGGGGAAATGTTTCCCACTGTCTCATTTGCACATGTCCAGAGTCTCATTATTTCACTGTTTTCACAGTAAAGACAGCGTCTGGATAGGACAACTAGCTTGATGAGTGCTCTTTTCATGACAGTACTTTTAGACATACATACAGTATCTTACAGTCGGTATCCTTCTGGTTTGTAGTGTGAATTGAGAGAATGCAGTCTACAGTATATGCAACAGGCAAAATTATAAAATAGCGCAGAAGGTTCCACTCAGCTCTGGTAAATATTTAATTGATGTTTTTGCCCATTATAGACACACACACTAACCATTGTTATTGCTTTCTGCTCCTGAGCCTGTATCAATGTGGTTGAAATACAAAAAAACCTCCACTCGCAGAACAAATGTCAAATTCATTCAGAAAGCACGTTAGTGGAACCAGATGTTCTCGATTCCGTTTGTGGTTTAGACCATCTCCTATACACTTAAGATGAAAAAGCTTTTTTTTTTGTGAAACTTGGCCATTAAAAAATGAAAGGCTCAGCCTGCTTTGAAACACGCATGAAACAGGAGCTTTTACTGCTGATTTACTGTCTGGTACAAAGAGACTGTACTTTACACACGAGGGCAGGCAAGGATTGGCGACGAGATGTGTGAATTGGTGGATTTATATCTTCTAAATCAGCTTAGGCAGTCGGGGAAAATCTACATTTTATGTCTGATGTGCAGTACTGGAAAATATTCTCTTCTCAGGAGATCCCTGTTATAGGTCCCAGTTCTAACATTCTGTTTTCCTGACATGGGATAATCATTACAAATGGCTAGGTTTCAAAATACAGCTGGATGAATCCCAGGGTTACTGTATCGTCATTGTGAGCCAATGTTGTACTGTAAATGTCCAGCACAACTTCCCTTGGCCCCAAATAAAACACGTTCTTTCTGTTCTCACCTCCACAGATTTACAAAATGTGCCTAGAAGGTACAATATTACATGGAGGAAACTATGCTGTGAACTACAGTGATTAATGAATAAATGATTAAAGAATGAATCTGTTATAAAGCATGTTTATCGCTGCACATTATATTCCCAAAATGATTCCAGACTTAAAACTGCTTGATCACCAGCCAGGGTAATGCTTAGTGCATTTGTTTTGGCAGTAAACTGGTTTGATTCATGTACTGTATAAGAATCTGCTTCCCAGCTTGGGGGATTGGAAGGCAAGATTGAAACATACCTGGGGTATTTGTTTTGTCTGTTTGCTTGACTTTATTGACGTGTCTACATGAGAATAATGCCTGAAAGAACAAGAACATTACTTGAAAAACAGCGGGCCATTCTCCTTCTTCCTTCTGTTCTTTATTGACTCAATCTTCAAGCCTCCATTTTGTATATATAAGATGAATATATACTGTATATACGATAACTGTTCCTTATATTCTCCGGATATCCTTATATTAATCACTAAAAATGTAATTCTGAAAACATGTTGGAACAAACAAAAACACAGGATATTATTATTATTTTAGTAGTGAAGTGGGTAGTGCTGATTCTGAAATGTGTATGATATAGCGCTCACCAGGATAAAATGTCTTGGGAATTTTACTTTGTTCATAATGATCTTTGATCTCTTGCACAGTTCACATCCCACCAGATTTGTTCTGCGTGATCCTGTTCTGTTGTTCCTTGTTATGTTTGTATTTCACTTGCTAATTACTCAAGCAAAACCGATCTGTGGAAATGCAGCTGGGATCTGAAGTGTATAGCAGATGGATGGAAATGAAGTGCCTTTGCTAAATTTCTCCACTACTGTTACACTTCCAGTGTTGTTCACCCTGGTGTCCTGGCTGACTTAACTCTGGACTTGAATCAAGTTCATTTCACTTTCCAGGTGTATCTTACACTTTTCACTTTAGCGCTGTGCTGTAGTTTTGCAAGTTTCAAGGGGATTTTATGCCAAGTCAGCTCCAAGTCTCTTTGTGTTATTTGGTGCAGCTCAATATGCACACCATAAAAATAGATTAACGCATAAAATTGCATTCCTACTTGGTTAGAACTTACATCCCATGTAATCAAGTTTTTGGTGGCTGCAAATAAAATTGTATTTCCAATTTAGCTGAAAACATTTCAACCCTAAAGGCTGGTTTTTCTTGAAAATGGGCCTTTTATTATTTTCCGGAAGGACTATTTCGTACCCATTCCAAGGTTTCATGTTACCATTCTGATTACGCTGTTTTTTTTTAAAAAACGTCTGCCTCGTGGGAGTTGCAAAGGAATACGTCCTCATGTCCTCCTCGCCTCTGTGTCTTACAGCTCTGGGATTTGTACTTGTAAAACGGGAGTGTATGGCCCCAAGTGTGATGAGTGCAAGCCTGGATATTTTTCATTCAGCACCACGGGATGCCGACCTTGCCAGTGCAACAATCATTCCAGTGACTGCCACCCCCAGTCCGGTAAGTGATCACCCTTGCCTTTCTCCTTGCTCAGAACCTGAAGAACATACAGTGGGCTGGGTTCCAAATGAGAGGGAGCCCTTCTGGGCGGTTGTGTCCATTTAGACAAAAAAAAGCTAAATCACGAAACCAGCTGTTTCTTGAAAGCAGCCAGACTGTTGGTTTGCCCTCAGCCCCTTGTGTGACGTAGCACCTCTTTCTTAGCTTTAAATGCTCTTGTGCTTAGTTTCCATTTGCGTCCTTTGATTCTCGTTTCCTTGTTGATTTTGAAGAAGTCCACTGGATTTCCTCTGCCTGTTCTTTTAAGGACTTTGAATGCATGAATCCGATTCCCCTGTACTGTAGCTTTCTTTAAGATTAAAACGGATTCGTTCTTTCAGCTTGACAGCGAAGGACATTCCTTTGGACCCAGGAATGTAATATGATTGCTTGGCAGTTGACAGGTTGCAGAGCAGAATATCGTATTTGTAATGCAATAAGCAGACTTCTGTACAATATTCTAAATTAGCTCCAGCTAATGCCTTGTAAGAAATCCTTTAATTAGATAGCTTTAACTACATGTCGTTGTTTTCCTTTTTTTTATCACTTTCCAATTCAGTCACTGTACACCTCACTGCACTAAGGGTTAGGATTCCCCTATACCAAGGCTTCTCTTGGGCCACAAAACTATCAATCCCCAGTCAGATAAAGAGCCTTCAGTGGCAGGCAGTGTGTGGCTGGATTGTGAGTATGAGCTAGTCCTCTATCAATTTTCTTCTGCAGAGCCAGATCTCACTCCTCTTGCAAGCTGGTATAATGTCTTTTTTTTAGTCCCACACAAATTTGTCCTCATTCTAACCACAACTCAACTCAGTTCTCCTGAACAGAATGAGATGGGATTGTTACATCCACTGCTTTGTGGGATACATGACACATCCTGTCCAAAATGTTCTGCTGCTTACAGTTTGTATCATTTGGTTAGTGAATGTGATTTATTTTCTTGATCAGTCAGTCCTCTGTATCACATTATTAACAAAATAGCAGGATTGTATTGCCGCTTGAGCTCTCACAGTTTAGAGATATTCAGCAAAGTCTTGTTTGAGTTACTTTCTACTACCGTTAGACAAAGTAAGCATGTCATTGTAATGTGGCTTACTGTAGCTGTCACAGCAAAATAGCCATAGTACAACAAGCGAGCTCCAATCTTCCATTAGCATAGGAAAATAGTAAAAGCTCGCTTATGTAGATTGTTAGTTATTACAGTTTACTCAGTTCAAAATTAAATAAACTATATCACTAAATGTCAGAAACATAATGTGTTAACACTCAATTTATTGACCTAAACCAGCTATTTGATGAACATTTGATCAAATATTCTGCGAAAGGTCAGGTTCTAATTTTTTGTTTACTGGGATCCACAGACTGCATGCTGGTTGTCTTGTTTGAGTCAGCAAACAGTGTTAGTTTAATGAATGAGTCATTATGTCGCCAGTCCTTTTAATCTGCATGTCTATATATTACTGTGAGCTAAGGGTGGGCATGCAGGTCATTTGTCATTCACTTGGAAAGTTGACGTCTCAGAAAAATGCTTGCAGTTCACAGAGTCTGGAAGGAGTGCATAGAAACTAAGCTGTTTGCTCAACTACAATTGATCTTACAGATGGGTAAATACACAGGATCAAACATGATTTAATCCGTTTTTCTGCTTGTTTACTCTGGTTAGTAATAAACATTTACTGTAACACAGAAGCACAGCATAAAAAACAGGGAAACAAAGAGCAGATAGGAAATGAATGTGAGGAAAACAGAGAGAGCTGGAAGAAGCATCAGCACTCATCTCTTTCTCTACGTCTGTGCCAGGCAAGAGGACCTAGTTCTGATCAGTCTTGAAGACCAGATTCTGCCTCAGTAATTTGAACCTTATTTAAGAGATCTTGCCGTGCTCAATTTTAAGAAATTCTGGTTTCCTTTGTTGTTGAATCCCTAGGCTAAAGACGTTTTCTCCTAATTTGGTATTGCATCTTTTGAGTAGGGACATAAGAGTCCCATTCAGTTTTGGGCACCCAGGTTATAAGAAGGGATATTTAGCACTGACTCTGATTCTTTTATTAAGGACCCAGCACAGTATTTCTTTTGTTGACTTGGCAAGTATAATATAGTGTTTCAGATTACTGTGTTAGCATTCTGGGTCTATACGATGTAGACCTCTGAGATCCCTTTGTTTTGTACTGTAAATAGCTTAATGTTTAATATTGTATGTTGTGTAACATTTTGGGTGTTTAGTTCTGTGTACTTGTAATTGTTAATAAATATTTGTTTGTTCTAGATTGCCTCTAATTTATTATTTTTGCCTCAAATTATACCCAATACTCAGGTGTATTTTTGACATTCACATTTATTTGATTATTTTTCCTGCTCTCTATTTTATCACCCCCCAATTTATAATAATATTCAGACCTTCTGCTGCACTTATGATGATTATTTTGCACTTGTGCCATGCGCATTACAGATGTTTTGAAGCAGAAAATTACTGTGCCATGAAGTAACATTATGCTTTGTGGGTTTTAAAGTCATGGTAAGGGTTGCATTGCATGTATTCAGCAAAACAGCAGTGAGTCAGCAACACTCCTTTTAACTTGTAGTTTGGACATAATCCATTGAGATAAAGGGGGATTTAAAAAAATTGAGATGTTCTTTGAGGTAATGCAGAGGACTAAGAAAAGTTAATTTGATTGTAATTCTGGATGTAATTTTCTATCCCCAAAACATAATTTTCCCTCTTTTGAATTTTTTCAGTGCATCAGGAATTGATTGGATAGATTTGACATTGTTGACATTGACTCAGGTTTGACTCATCTTTGCATCATGGAAAAAACAAGTTGTTTTTGCAGTCATCATTGAACAGTCAGCTTGCGCTATGACAAATAAGCTAAGTGGAAGACACAATTAGCTTCTAATTCCTGCTTCCTAAATGCCTTAATAGTTTAATTATTCTGTATCAACTTAATGGAGTGTCTAAAACTAACATCTGGTGGGAGTATTCAACAGCATCAGCAAACTGGGCACAGTGTGCCTGGCAAGAGTCCTTTTTATCAATGTAAGTGATTTCAATTACATTACAAGTTTTATATTGTTTTTAATTTAGATTTAATTTAAAAATCCAGACCATGATTCACGCAGAATATGTCATAGGCACTAAATCACCTCATTAGCTGAGAGTGGAGCAGAGGGTTGATTAAACACTGGCATTGTGGTAATTTAACCTGTTATGAACAACAAACCAATCAATAGGGAGGTCCAGGTGTAATGGTCTGGACAAGAATGTCTAGACACTACAGAACTCTAGTTACAATGATTGATGTCAACATGACTGCATGACACTATTCCTCTTAGGAATATTTAGAGTCATGAATAAATTGACCCTCGTGTTTTATGGAATTCAGCTATTATGACAAATTTATGACCAATATGTCTTGGCTGTTATGATTACATTATAACATTTTTGGAATGATTTTAAGCAAGACACATTATGCAATCCATAACTCATTCTGATTTATGATGTTTTTTACTCACCTTTCATTAGGGTTATGAATAAATCTGGAAGATGCTGTAAGATTGTATATTAAGCATATTTGTCAATTGAACAGTACCTTTTTGAAGTTTATTGAACAGCCATTCATCCTACCGAGTGATAGTTATGATGTCCCGGTGAGTGAAATAAAATACAGTACAAGAAAGGTGGCATAACTGATAAAGGTGCTCTGCTGAGTGTGGGTTGAGCTCCATGATCACAGATTCTAACCTGAACTAACCTGTTATGACCAGGAGAGCACTGCGAAGGGTAAAAAGCTCTTTGTTATTTGGCCTTAAGACACTCATTGTCCCCTATGGCCTCCTGAATTGTCATACGTGCAGGACTGTCAGTGAGAGGGACACGTCTCTCCAGTGGGGCCTGAACCTCCTATACGGGGTTGCGTAGCGTGCTGCGTGATAAAAGACGAATGGCTGGAAGATGGGGGGTGTTGGCAGAGCGTGTCTGCACCTCTCAGTTTCCCTGTGTGCGGCTACGAGGTTTGTCACTGTGAACTAAGGTATGACAAATACACAGTTCCAAATCGGTGGATGGTCCAAAAATAAGTTCCTCATTGTGTGAGAAAATGCTTTCATATTAATATTAATTAATTAATTTTCAATATTTTTGTGCTTAATAGCAGTTTTAAACTGCAGTTTGGCTTATGCATGAGGACTTGTCTACAGTTCACTTCTACTATAGAGGAGTTACTATTCTGTAACACTGTATCATAGTCAATCCTCAAATTGCAAGTGAATCTGTAATTCAGGCTGCAGGGTACCACTCTTCTTTAAGAGATAACCAAGGGCTGGCTCCAAGAGCATATGTGAGATCAGATTAGAGCTGAATCCTATGATGCTGGATTAGACACCTTGCAACAGCAGAATTTCAGCTGATGATTAATGTGTTGCCTGTTCAATTAACTCAGCAAAGCATATTTTTTGTGTGCTTATCCTAAGGGTCTATTATGATTCTGCATTTTAAAGCAGCTGCTGAAGGCATACTGTATATTGGGGAAAATTAAAAGATGGATGCAGTGCTATCTATTCTGGACCATGTGTCACATCAGTAAGGAGAATAGACTCACTCGTTAAATTGCATCAATATCCCAGTCTTTATTAATCATATCCAGGAGGAATGCAAAACTGCTCATTTCATTGAGATTTCACAGTCGTCATGATATGTGCTCATGAATCTAGTGTCTCCTGAAGCCGTTCTTACTGCGGGATGACGGTTAATTTGTTTTTCTACTTTCCTGCCCACCATTGCGAACACATTTCCCAGGACAGTCATCAATGCTCAGTCATATCAGAGTTGGAAAGCTGAAAATACAAGGATCTCCTGAATGGCTCCACCAGTCAAAGGATATACTTAGAATGCAGGCGAAAACAGTGAGGGAACACAGTGGTCCAGAGGTTTCTAGTTTGAGCTGAGATGCCCTAGTCAGGCT